TTTTTACTTTGAAGTTTCCTACTGTGAATGTTTTTTTTTTTTTAGGGGGGGGCGGGGGATACTGTGAATGATTCAACACTTGCATGCCTGTGCTTGGGGACATCCGTTAAAATTGGAAAGATACAGAGAAGATTATTAGCATGGTCCCTGCGAGAGGATGACACACATAAATAAATCGAGAAAAGGTCCAAGGAAACAAAAAAAAAAAACACTTGCATGCCTGGGCCGTCTTCATTTCGTTTTTCTTAAGACAAATAACATCAGCTGGGAGTGCTGGCGGTGAAGCTACAACATCAATCAGAAGATCCCATCAGCTGCTGTGGCTTTTTTTGTATGGGGGAGGACCACTTCTCGATTTATGAGGGCCATCCTTCCTTGCGGCGCAGGGGCCATGCCATGCTAATCTTCTCTCTCTAATTTTAACGGATGTTCCGAAGGAGCTCTGGCTTTTTCAACGAGGCATGCTGGACCCGTTTTCCAGCAGGTGGCGGCGAGCACGGAGGAGCGCATGATTATTATTATTATTATTATTATTATTATTATTGCTATTATTATTATTATTATTATTATTATTATTATTATTATTTGCCTCTAAAGGGAGGATGGAACTAATCCTTCACTGAAGAGCCGGCACAAGGTTGGTTGCAGAGATTTTTCCCTGCAAGGCAGACCCATGTAGATAGGGTTTGCTGTCGTTTCTATACTTCGCCTCGTCGACTGATAAGATTCACTCAGATCAGATTGCTCCGTACAGACTCATCAGTTTTTTTTTTTTTTTTCTTAACATCTGCCGGGCATGCTACCTTCTTCCCCCGAATACAACGTACGGTCATTATAGCTGTATTTGAGGCGTCTTTCAGTCTAAATAGTAAATACAGCTATAATGACCGTATTTTGTATTCGGGGGAAGAAGGTACTGGTGGTGGTAAGAGCGCCCACAGCTGGCAGTCCGGCTGATGACTGCAGTCTATTGGTGGGGAGTGGCATTTGACTCATTAGCTGCTCTGGATTTTTTTTTTTTGGGGGGGGGGCTCGAGAGAGAAGAACGTAAGTCTGGCTTTTCTTAATGAGGGATCCTGGACCCATTTTCCAGCAGGTGCAGGAGGCATCAAATGTCGGAGACCTACATAGCGGGGATGCTTTTGTCATCCTCTGGACAAGGGTTCCCAAAATGAGATGTTTTTTGTTTGCCCGTGAAGAAGAAAAAAGCGAAAAAGCAAAACGAAGAAAAACGCCATTGTCATCATTGTCCTCCTTATGCCATCTTGCTCTTTATCCTCCTCGTGCCTCTCGGTGCACACCACGTGATGTGCCTCGTTTGCAAAGAACGAAGAGAATTATGTGATGATATATTCACAGAGAGAGAGAGAGAGAGAGAGAGAGAGAGAGAGAGAGAGGGGCCATCTTCCTCCTCCTCCTCGTCCTACCCATTAATGTTCTTGTGCTTCTCCTCGTCAACCGCATCGTCGTCGTCCTCCCCGTTCATCCTATTCTCACCATCTTCTACCGTACCCTCATCTTTCATCTCTCCTTTAGCGCGCCCCTTTCCGCAAGCAAAAAGCGGGCTGACGAGAGGGAGAGAAAGTAATATTAAATAAATAATATTTTGTGTGTGTGTGTGTGTGTGTGTGTGTGTGAGATAGATAGATAGATAGAGAGAGAGAGAGAGATGGACCATCTTCCTCCTTGTCCTCCTCATTGGTGTCACTGTCCTTCTCACCTCATCAACCCATCGTCGCCTCCTTCTCTTTTATCCCATCCTCAGCATCCTCTACCATCGGCTGTTCCTGCATCTCTGCCTGGACGCTCGCCATTTTGCGAATTAAAAGGCAGGCTGACGAGAAGCAGAGAAAGAGGCAGAATGCAAAGGTAGAGCGCGCGCGAGAGAGAGAGAGCCTCTCTCCCTCCTCCCCTCACGCTCCACCACCCGATTGCCAACCCCCGAACTCATACGACAAAAAAAATGGCCGAATTGTAGCAGCTTGTTTTCTCTTCCGTTTTTTTTTTCCCCAGTAAGCATCATGGCAGACAACTATCCACGGGTGCGGTCCCACAAGCAGCACGGACTTTTGCCGTGGGATGACGTGTGATCCCACAGTCAGGCTTTTCTATGTATAACTTGACCAAGTTTTTTTTTTGTTTTTTTTTTTGGCCTTGAGGTATTATCATCGGACTAGCCAGCCCAGGTAAATTCAATCTTGTGTCTAATCTGACAACGGTGGCCTTTTCAGCCAAGGGTGGCCTGATAGCCTTAGGGTGGCCTGATAGAACCCCCAACAGGGGGCACCGGCCAGGGGACAGCCGGTGGCAGAGGGACCGAGCATCATCTGAGTGGCCAGTCGCTGTGCCTCCCCGATTACCCCTCCCCCTATGAACATCAGCAGAGCCTGCCTTTTAATGCCAATTGGGGGGACCAACGGGCTATCTCTAGGTGGTGGGCACCAAGTATGCCCAGGAAGGTACACGAGGCCAATGGGGATTGAACCCAAGACCTCCTGAATGCCACTTGCGTGCCTTACCAACTGAGGCCGCTGGATACTTGAGAAGTTCGAGCTCTTTGTCCCCAAATAAATAAATAAATAAATAAATAAAATTAAGCTGAGAAACGAACGGCTCACTGGTAACGCCAGTGCAAACAGAGCTTCCCGCAAAGAACTGCTCTATCCCGTCGGAGTATGGGCCTCGGCACACCACTCACCAAACGTACGAAGGACAAAGATTCATTCCCGTTTTCCTCATTTGGAGAGTGGTGCGGCCAGGCCCAATGCCTGACCCCAACAACTGCTCTATTTCCTGGGAGTATGGGCCTCGCCACGCCGCTCCCAAGTTGTAGAAAAAGTGGACAAAGATTCATTCCCG